CCCCCCCTTCATGTTTCCATGAAAAATGCCAAGCATCACATTTCTGATTTGTGACTGCTCGCGTAAACTCCAGTTAAACACTGAAAACAGACTCGAAGCCGACGTGAGACAGATATCGTCTTCCATTAATAGCAAAAAATGTTCGCTTAAACACAGCAGGGTGTTTACGTTAACTAGTAATCGCAGTCATGGAAAACATCTCTGCAGATCAGATTTATTTCTGTGGCATTTTTGCTCGCCTGATTATTGCACACACACACACACACACACAGCTCCACGGTTCAGCCGGATATTGGTTACTCAAGGGAAACAGTCACATTTGACACTGAGCAGTGACAGGACTGGTTGTTACAGGTAAATGGAAGAAGATGGTAGGTGTTGGAGTGAGCAGATTGGTGTGAGAGGACTGAAGATATGGGCACATAATGAGGGAGAAGACACTGATGGAAAGCCACAATGGGTTGAAATAGAGATTTTTCTCTTTTATCCTGTCCATTTTTCAGTGCGTGCCTTTTTTAGCCTGCAGACACGGGAATGCAAGCATGTTCTGTGTGCAATTTGAGCAATGAACAAGAGAATATGGGCTCTAAGAAAAGGGGCTGGTATGGGGGAGGCATGTGTGCTTTGTCTTCACCCACACTCAAACCTGTCAAACAAACAACACTCTTCTTACACCCCCAATGTGTGGCGAACCAATCAGGTTCCAGTATCACAAAACTCAATGTTTCTGCCTCCTGCCAACTCTTTTCCATATGGGATTGACTGGAACAAGGTGTTTGATGAATGTGGATAAAGGCACGGGGCTTTAAAACCTATCTTGTTTTCTCTCACTGATTTTAAAAGGTAGGGTTCACGTCAACAAAGCAATTGGGATGGCAACGGGAAGAGAAACAGTTTTCTGTTTTCACTGAAGATAAAAAGATTAAAACAAAACATATATCATGTAATCCTGGAAAATCAGGGTTTGTAGCCAAGACAGCTCGATTTCTTTACTAAACAAGAGGATACAAGGCTAACAAGATTCATTAACAATGATGGGGCACACATGGTCCAGATAACAAATCCTTAAAGACTAGACTGAGGCCATAAGCATCATATACTAAACACCTCAACAGCCCCAGGTAACATTGGGGTCTTGTTATCAGCTCTCTTCCAGGCACCCTACGTCCTCATCTAATCAAGTCTGACAGCCTCTCAGGCATTAGTCCTAAATTCTCCTGCTGTGCTTCATCTCACTTCATGTCCTACGATTCCAGGGTGTTTTAAAAAGCACGATGACTCCTCGCATATGGTAATCCTGTTCCCTTAAAAATGTATGAAGAGATTCCAAAAAAAATAAAAAAAATCTTCCTTTCCCCTTAATCCTTCCCTTTTTCTATAGCGAGCAGGATATGCTGTTAAGGAGCAATGCTGTGATGGGCTATTTGCTTTATTTTGAGGCAAGAATCGCAACAGGAAAACTGTGCAAAATCGATGAGAACAGTGACTTCCTGAAAAGGAGCCAATACTGTCCACAGCCAATAATGAAAGCTGAAAGATATGATGAAGAAGACAATGAAAAAAGGAAGAGGTGATTTGATATGTGAACTTTTTGAGCAAATGTACTGGAAGTTATTGATTCTGGTGGATAAACCTCCTTGTTTTTAGAAGCAATACCTGATATTTCTAATTATTAATACAACTGTCCCGGTCTCCTCTTTCTTGTATAACAAATAAGAGGGTTGGAGAGGTTTCTGCTGGTTTGGATGTTTATCAGAGAGACTCTCTCACGAGGCTCGACTTCAGTCCAATAGCTGCTCAAAAGTGAAAAGAGGCAAAGGTCAAGTATTAGTTAAATGCAGTTTTGAGCTACAGTGCCTCTTCCCCACCCATTCTCTCTGCTTACAAGCTTGTTGACCCCTCTCCCACCAGGTTGGACCAGCGCACAGCGAGTTAATCATTTCCTTGGCTCATTCTTTGCTTTCAGATTAATCATTATTTTCTCTATCTGATCCTGGCGTGAATTGGAAGAACCTATAAATTCAATAATAATCAGGTCATAAGCTGAATTACTGCTCCACTCAATAGTTTCCACACAAAAGGTGACAGAGAAGAAAAAGAGAAATGCTGGAGCAGTTATCATTGGAGTACACAGATGAGGTATTCCAAAAAGCCAGAGATCTGCAGCCAATGAGATTACACAACAGAGTTCATTTAAAAAGACTTCAAGCACATGGAAATAATGTTTCAATACAAAAATGAACGCTCGGTGTGCCGTATTGTGCTGCTGCTGGGGGGGAATCCAACTAAATATTTAAGCTTCACTTCTTATGGAAACAATAGGGTTCCCTCTTTCAAGTGTAATTAAATTTCCTCTTTACTCCAGCCAAGAGCTATTTTGAGACTCGTGTGCCTATTTGTTCAAAGGAGGATAAAATATTAGCAAAAACATAGGTCTACTTTAGATTTAATGTGATGATGAATCACATTTTATATGATGTATGAAACGAGCTGAGCAATTTCCCAAGAGTGTTAGGAAAAAACTAAAAAAAAACAAACAAACAAGAAAAATGGGTTCTTTCATTTTAGGTGCCTACACATCTCACCGGTAAGAAATGCTAATAACTTAATTAAAAACAGATTAATTCTAATTAATTCCAGTTTGAAATGAAAAGACTGTGCCAGCTGAATGGCTGGACTCAAAGCTTACAAAAACCAACAGTGTTTGAACTTTTTAAAGCAATGAATGCAGGTATAAAAGATATTTTTAAGTCTTAAAATACCAATATTTGTTCAGTTTAGGGGGAATAAAGCCAGGGCTGTGCAGTGTTTTCTAATGGATTAACACGCTCATCGCCCTCTAGGATGAGTATATGACTTCCTGCACACAGCTACATGCGTTGTTTACTTAATATTTCATCATTAAGGTAGAAAACTGCTTGGTGGATCATTTCACAGGCAATGTCGGTAAATTTCTCCACTCCTTCCAAAAGCACAGAGGATAAATGAACACCAATGCAGCATGCACGGAAACGGAGAGCCGTTTAAATATTTTATTAGGCCCCTTTTGTTTTGCTGGTAGGCTACAACACAGTGTTTAACGAGATACCACTTTGTTGAGACTAGACCAAAATACTTTGGAAAATACTGCACG